TAATGTGACACAAAAAAAGGAATATGGTTAACCTTATAAACTCTGTTTTATCACTCTAAATTATCTCCATAATTTATGTGATTTTGTAAATAAGGGTTTTCTTATTTGCATGAAGGCAATAAAAATAATTAATATGAATTTTTCTTTTGTTATCTTCAGGGCCCTGAAAACATAAGGATGAATGAAGAATGGTTCCCATCTTAATACAAAATTGGGATAGCCTCATTGCTGCTTAAGAGACTTTGAGGATTTTTTTTTTTTTTTTGACCCTTTATTTAAGACCTTTCCTTGACTTCCATTCATACTCAATTATTACTATTTAGGCTGAATCTTAGCTAAACTTCTGACTTTCATGTAAGCATATTGTTTATAGAGCATTAGAAGACTCATGTTTGTGATGCCAACATGTTAATGAAGGCAGTCCCATTTTGTGTGTGTGTATGCGTGCGTGTGTGTGTATGTGTGTGAATATTTAAGTGATCATAGATTTGCAAGTGATTTCATTTTTTAATTTGTATGATGAAAGGGTTTGATCCTTTCTAGAGTTAAGAGATTTTTTATAGTTCTTTGTAACTATTTAAAAGATGGTTGCTATTGCTTTTAAAAAATAATTGGAATAAAAGTATGATTGGTTGGTGTATAAATAAAACAGAAATAGTTTTATACAAAGATATTTTAGTCCTTAAAGTATGAAACTTAATGAATTTGTGTAAAAATCTTTATTTTTTATTTTCTGCTTCAAATTTTCAATAAACAAGCTAAAAAGTAATTTTCTCCTTTTGTTAAAAAGATAAAGCTTTGTTTTTGTGTGTGTGGTGCTGGGGATTGATACTCATGGCTTTGTGCTAAGCAAGCACTCTTCTGAGTTATATCCCCAGCTCCAAGGCTTTACTTTTGATTTTAGAAAAGGTTTTCATTATCATTCTGTGACATATGGAAGTACGATTTACTTGGATAAGCTTTGTTTCTCAAGAAAAAAGAAAACAATTTTCAGTTGATAAAATGAATTATTCATATTTCATATGCTTACTGGCAATTCAATTAGTAATTGTATTTAAAAAGGGCTACTTTTATTTGTGATGTGAAAATTAACCTTCACAATGTTGTTAATTCTAATTGAAGTTTTCAGAGTTTTTGTTTTAAGATGAAATTCAAGCAAGCAGAGCATTATCAAATAAATAAATATTGGAATAATAAAGGGTGTTTGGGAAATTGTTTGTTAATGACATTAATGATATTAATCAGATATTTCCTTATAATTTATAAAATTCTGAAAACTAAACATATAACTTAATTTTGTTTCTCAGTAGTTTTTATATTAAGCATTTTTGTTGTTTTCTAATTTGATCATAATATATCTTATGGGTATCCCATTTACAAAAATATTCATTGTACAACTTTGTTAGTAGAAAGTTAGGGAAGTTGGACTTTTGAGAAGATATATTCTAGATCAGAAAAATTAAAATGGAGAAGGGATGATACATTATTTATTTGAGTTTACATAAGATGTACTGTCAGCCTAAAGTCAGAGATGTGTTCAGGGCCAAAAGAACGTTCTCTGAACAGGTTCAAAAATGATCTCGTAGGCAAAGAAAGACTAACTAGCAGGTGGCAACTTCCAGAATTCCACAGTAGCTTCCTGTCTTTCTGTATAGTGTGTCATGCTTCTTATGAATTAGAACTCTTTCCAATTTGTGTTTTGAAAAATTTTCAAAGTTAAAGAACAGTTGCAAGAACAGGTCCATGATCTCCCATATATGCTGTGTAGGTTCACAAATTGTTAACGTTTTGCCACATTCACTTGACTACCCTCTACACAGTATAATTTTATTGGCTTAATTTGTGAGTAGGTTATAGACATCTTAGACTTTCACTCCCAAATATATTAGCATGAATTTCTTACCTACTCATACCAACAATTTAAAAAGTTAAATATTGGTACGATAGAATTTCTAATATCAAATCATATTAAAATTTTTATAAATGCCCCAAGAATGTTCTTTGTAGTGACTGTTTTCCAAACCCAAGGCCATGCATTGCTTTTAGTTGTCATGTAAGTTTTATTGCCTTCAAAATGTGTCATTTTTATCCAAAAATAGAGAATGGTGTTTAGACTCAGCCTTCCACAAGCTTTGTTGAGGGAAAAAAAGAAAAGAATTTCAAAGAGGTTGCTTGCTGAAAAAAGTAAATTGTCCAGGGAAGAGAGACTTTTTTGTTTTTAATATTTAAAACTTTGGCTTGGTTTTGGTGTCTTGACTCAGCAAAGTCTATAATGCAGCAGGGCTGGGTAAGCATTAAAGGGGGTACTGAAGCTTTCCTTTATTTTATAATCCCAGTTGTTTTTCTAGAAACCATCAATAGACTCTAAATGACTGACTCAATTTTTGGAACCTATTCTCATGACTAAGCAAATGTTTGATTTGAAACCAGCCCAGTATAAATGTCTCTGGGCTTCTAACTCTCTGTAGCTTTCCTGGGTTTCTTTCAGCACTGGGGAAATCAACCTATGCACTAAAAATGTCTAAAACTGGAACCAAGGTAAGTAAAAAAAGTCATACTGATTTTTAGCCTACCCACTTTAAACGTAATGATACATTGAAAGGAACGTGGAGAAGAGCTTTTGCTTTTTTGCCTAGAGGTGAGTATGAAAGGTTAAAGGACTAGTACTGGGAGAGAAAATTAAGAAAAGCTTATTATATTTTTCTACTCTAACAGAATTACCAAATACTTTCTTAAGAGTTTATCTATCTATCTATCTGTATATATATACATATATATATGTATGTATGTATATATATATATATATATATATTGCTGTGTGAATACTGTACAGATAAATAACATGTAAATATCATTATTTCTGCCTTCCAGCAACTAAATTCTATGAGGCGCCACAGAAACAGAACATACTGATGAGAATTATGTGGAGTAGGAAACTTAGTTTATTAAATTTAGCCTCACTCTTAATGTTCCAAAAGCCCAAGGTGGGTGGGCCAGTCAGGTGAAATAATCTTTGGTATTTCCTTCATTCAAGCAGTTATTCTCACCCTTTCACCAAATAAAATGTTCACTTACATTAGGAAAACTGCTTTTAAAATATTTGATTCACAGTTGCTGGGCTAGGAAGTGATCTCTTAGGCAACATTTTGGGAATGACATTCTCTTTAGTTCTTCTACTCACTAATAAGTCTAAGGCAAAGCCATTGTCTCATACCTGATTTTTTTCCTCCAACATTTTGCTTGAAAATTTTTCAAATTTATTGAATTTGAAAGAACAAGAAATGTTCAGTGAATACTTGTATGTCCTTCCCTTGAATTCTCCAATTAACATTTTATCACATTTTATTGATCTTTTTTAATTAAGCCATTTGAAAATAAGGGGCAAACTTCTTTATCCTTTCGCCTTAAAGTATCTTTTGCCTTCTATATCTCCTAAAACCAAAGGCTATCCCTGTGTAAACATCATCATGTCCCCAAGATTCATCATAAATATACCTTGTATTATATTTATACATATATTTCTGCATATAAGTATAATGCTATATGTGTGTGTATGTATGTGTATATATATAAAATATTCAGACCTTGTTCAAATTCCCCCCATTGCTACCAGAAATGTGTGACATTGGATATAGAGGTCATATATTACGTTTGAGGTCATATTTGGTTTGTCATGTCACTTCTTTCTTTAACTTATTTAATCTATTACAGTCCCTCTACGTTTGTTGTTGTTTTTGAGACATTAACACTTCAAATCTAAGCCATGTATCTTATAGAAAAAGTCCTGCATCTTGATTTGTCTGATTATTTCCTCATGTGTGGATTCAGACAACATTTTTGGCAAGAAAACTACAGAGGCAATATTGTATACTTCCCAGTGTATCATCAGGAAATACTTGATCCATAACTGGTTAGTGTCTTTTTTTTTTTTTTTTGCCATTTGGCAAATAGAGCTAAAAATCAGTGCTTATCATCCGAAGGTTTGGGGAAAAACAGAGGTCTTTAGTGCTCTGAGGTTCTTGAAAATGTGCCATGCACATCCTACTAACAAAGAATTTGAAACACTTAGAGGGATTTCCACGGACCATGGCTGTTACATAACTATCTTAAACAGATAAAAACATCCCCCACTTTCTGGAATTTCAAAGATTTCCAGAGTAGTAATAATATGATCTCTTATTTCTTATAGCTGGGTTGTTCATTTATTAAAATAACTTTTGCTTGCTAGTCCAAGGGAGATAGTAAATAATCTCTTACTATTTTTCATTGCTTCTCTCTTTCCCACTCTCTTGCCAGCAGTTTATTCAAGGAATTATGGCCTCAGCAAAAAGAACAGATTATATTAAGCATGTTTTCTCTCTCAGATACTAAAGACATTTTTCCTTTTGTGTTGGATTGGTAAGCTGCTTTTCAACAGAAATTTTGAAAATGATAGAAACTTTGTGGTACTTTTTTTTTTTAAGAGCGAGAGAGAATTTTTATTTATTTATTTATTTTAGTTTTCGGTGGACACAACATCTTTGTTTGTATGTGGTGCTGAGAATTGAACCCGGGCCGCATGCATACCAGGCAAGCACGCTACCGCTTGAGCCACATCCCCAGCCCAACTTTGTGGTACTTTTTAGGAAAATTTTCTGCACATCTCTTAGTTTTCTATAAAACTTTTTGCCCAACAGTCAAAACCTCAGCTAACAGTAGAACAAGTAAATTTCATGTTTCTTTTACAACTAGAAATTGAATATAGCCAGGTATTAACATGCTCTGGCTCTGAAGTCCTTGGTCCTGGACCACAGTATTGATTCTATGACAATATGATGAGTACTTTTGGCCTTGGGACAGTTGACTGGTAGTTAGGATGATGAACAGCATGGTGACCTTATAGAATGTCATGTATATTTCTACTTCTCAGGTATTAGTATCAGACATATGTGCACAGGGCAGTAAGTATGAGAAAAAAGGTAAAATAGATGATAATTTTATTCCCATTACCATATCCCTTACAAAGCATCTGTTTGGGTAAATAGTTAGTCCAAAACAAAGTGAATTGAGTTTATGGATTAGGGAGTTTAGAACCTATACATTCCTTGAGAAGTTATTTGATTTCCTAAAGATCTCTCTACAGGTAATAGGAAAAGCCTCACATGCTCAGGATCAGTTCTGTTCAGCATCAAAGGATAGCATTGCCTTGTTGAACAGAGCTGGCTGTGCAAGCAGGGAGACAGTAGAGGAAAATAAAATGAACCGTGCATTACTGAACTTGATGCAGCTGTCTTGTAACTAGCTAGTGACCTTAGGCAAGTCCCTTCTTTGTAACAACTGTAGCAAAAGCTTATTGGCAATTAGGAATCAAGTATTAAACCAAGTGCTTTGTAGACATCCTTTTGGGCCCTCAGAACACCCCTCTGCAGTATAAATTGTTATCTCGTTTTGCAAATGAAGATGTTTTAGAAAGGGTTCAATGCCCTGTCCCAGGTTCCTGAACTGGTAAGTAGTGGTGCTGGAATTTTTTTCTTTTCATTCATGAACTCAGGTACCATCGATCTCTAGTCTGCTATGCTAAAATGAAGAAAGGAGCAGAAAAACAAAAATTGGGTGAGAAGAGAAAGGAGATGATTCTTCTAGTAGGTGAGAAGGGGAAAAGGAAGTTTTTAGAGAACAGGATTTACAAGAGTTGAGAATAATGGGAAAGGTAGGGAAAGATTAAAGTAGAAGGTGGGTATGTTGGTATGTTTCTATCTAGAAAGAAACACCCCAGGTGGAAAAGGATATTTTATGCCCTTTGCAAGTCATTTTTTTTTTTCCTCATTCATTCTCTGCACCTAATAGCTCACCAAATCCTAAATTTCTTTTGATTGTTTTCCCATTGTAGTTGCATTGCACTTGGTCCTCATCATCTCTGCACCTCCACCCCCGGCCCCTAGCAACCATCTATTTCCAGGCACAAACCACTAATGTTCGGCTTCCACATGAGTTTCAAGGGTATTGATTCTAGCTTGGCTCTTGTGTCATTTCTCTGGCATTTCCCCCTGATTCTTAATCATATATTCACTATGCACTAGAGTTAACTACTTATTGTCCCTACAATAAGCCATGTTATTCCCCTCCTTTACTCTGCTGAACAGGCTTATCTCTCTTCCTTTGCTTCTGGAAAACATCTAGTTTCAATCCTCTGCTCAAGAACTCAAGACTACCTGGCCCTGTTTATCTGAAATTACTCCTTTGGGTTCATTAAAGCAAATTAGCCACAAGGTGGCAGCATAATTCCAAGAAATTAGCCACTCAAATCATGACACTTGTGCATTCAATCCAAATTCTAACCTAATATTGATCTTAGATTTGGAATTAATTATTAAGCAAAAAGGAAAAAAAAACAACAGTCCATTTTTGTTTAAAGAGTTTTTCAGAAATTACTTGATAAATTCCTAAGTGTTCTTGGGAGCTGTCTTCTATTTCAGCCAGAACTATGCTGAGTTGTTTTATAGCCAGGACTTCCAGTCTCTCTAGTCATATTATTTGACAAATGGAAAGCTGAAGCCCAGAGAGATGTTTGCCCTAATGTATGTTGGTGGTGGAAAAGCTGCCCTAGAACTGAGCCTTCTTATTTCTGGTTTCCAAGGGTTGCATGCTTTTTAGTGCTATGAGAGACTTACCCCAGACGCTGTGGAAGAAATTTGGTAAGACTTTGAAGCAAAGAATGCTCTTGCCTTGTCATTTCGTTACTTTACAGCTACCACATTGGCAAGAAACTAATGTAGAACATATAATGTAGTATATTTTAATGAGTGTTTGCTCTATAGTCTTTTAAAAGAAGCTCTTGAAAGTTAATCTATGTTTTTATTAATCTGTGTTTCTGTATACATCTTCCATATCACCTACCATGAATCTCTGTATGTGGAACTTAGTCATATTTATCAAACATTTTTTGAATGCTTGGCAAGTGCTGGGCTCAGGGAGCCCATAGCTTAAGTAAGCCTTGGTTCTTGCCCTTGGATGAAATCTAGAAGGAGTCGGATGGGAGCATGGACATAGAAACGGACAGTTTACAATATAATGTGATAGGTACAGAAAGCTGTGGGAACGTGAAGAAGAAATGAACTTGAGTGTGAAACTGCTGGTTTATGTTAGAGCTCTTTTGTCTTTTGCTTCATTTTTAAGTGTTCAGAAAGTACTTCTTCCTATTGTTGACAACTAAGATTGTTTGCCAGAAACCAAATGTTGTGAGGTAAAGTAGAACTACAAATACTGTCTCCTCTGAGTTGAGAAGAAAGGAATTTTTAAAGTGGGCAAGATTTTTTAATTTTTATTTTATCTATGAATAAAGCCACCCAACTCCTCAGTTCTTCTATTTATTTGTCCTGTACTTCAGATCACTTTTTATGAAGACAAAAATTTTCAAGGCCGCCGCTATGACTGTGATTGCGACTGTGCAGACTTCCACGCATACCTAAGTCGCTGCAACTCAATCAGAGTGGAAGGAGGCACCTGGGCTGTGTATGAAAGACCTAACTTTGCTGGGCACATGTACATCTTACCTCAGGGAGAGTACCCTGAATACCAGCGTTGGATGGGCCTCAATGACCGCCTGGGGTCCTGCAGAGCTATTCATCTGGTGAGTCTAGGGCTTTTGCTCACTTTCTCCCTCTCCTCCATTTTCTTCTTCCTTAAAGTCTTCCTACCTTTCCACAGGCAGCTGGCTTCTCTTGGCTGCTGAATCTTAAATAAATCTTAGATCAGTTCATCATAAAACTGAATTACACTTATGACTTCCATTACTTACTACCTCTTGAGTATTTGGAGAAATGTTTTCTTATTAAAAGTCAACTGTTTCAGTCATTTCTTCAGGGAGGGTGGGAGTTCTGAGGATTTAGGTTCTGAAACAGGCTGTTCACTGAGTTCCTAACCTGCTGATGATTTCCATAACAATGGCTATTCATTTCTTTCTTTCTTTTTTTTATTTCAGACTAGTGGAGGCCAGTATAAGATTCAGATCTTTGAGAAAGGAGATTTTAATGGTCAGATGTATGAAACCACTGAAGACTGCCCTTCCATCATGGAGCAGTTTCACATGAGAGAGATCCACTCCTGTAAAGTGCTGGAAGGTGTCTGGGTTTTCTATGAGCTACCCAACTACCGTGGCAGACAGTACCTCCTGGACAAGAAGGAGTACCGGAAGCCCATCGATTGGGGTGCAGCTTCTCCTGCTGTCCAGTCATTCCGCCGCATTATGGAGTAATGACGTGGATGGGGCCATAGGTTTTTTCCTGAGGGCCAAATACTGGCTGGCCTCGTGGTCATAATAGGCATCATAAATAAAAACAATTGGCACGCATCCCACTGCTGACTATAATGCCTCTTAAATGCTTTTAGGAACTAGCATTGTAGTGCCCTGCCACAGTGGGCAGCCAACCAAAGCAACTCATCCATCAGATCACCAGTTTAGATCTTTGTGTCAAACAAAATGAGACTGCATTAAAAGTTAGAAAATCATACTGCTATGTAGTGGCTCTTTTTGCTTGTGTTTTGCATTAATTCAACAAGCGCAATAATAATACCTGGGATTATTATCCCATTCCTCACAACCCATCCAGTAAAAGAAGTGGTTTATCTGCATTCTATTAATAAAGAAACCGAGACTTGAAGAAATTAAAAAACATATTAAAAACTTGTCCAAGTTCACCAGCTGGTAAACGCAAGAGCTAGGATTTTGTCCAGGATATTTCTGTTTCCAACGCCATTGTTTTGTTTTTCTCTTTATTTCCTATTCATTCATTCAGCACTTAATGGCTAACGATCAGAGTGCATACAGTAAGTATGAGACCCTTAAAATTTTAAAAAGTGAAAAGAACAGAGTCCCTCAGAAGGTCCAGTTGAGGAGACAGGAGCAATCCATAAAAGCAGGGTGATTACTGGCAAATAGTGGAGCCATAAATCACCTGAAGTCCCTTGTTTAAGATTCAGAGATTCTCAACATTAGTGACTTCTCAGCCCTAACTTTGGTTTTCCATGAGAAGAAAGAACATGTTGAACAATTTTTTCCTCTGCTACAATAGTTGAAATGGGGTTTCATGGAGTTTTGCCTACTTTGAATAACCCCTGAGGTTCTATCTATTTAATCTTGATGAAGAGGAGAATGATGAAGGAAACAGGATCACTAGGAGTATTAGGGTCTATTCTAGTGAACCTGGGGATATGCTAAATGTAGCTATCTTTAAAAGAGAGGGTGAAGCCCATGTCTTCTAGCTCTTTTCACCAAAAGGATAAATGAGAGTCGTCAAACTCCTTTCGTATATACTTTAGTGTATACTGCATAGCTCTCCTACCCCAGATAGTTTTATTCATTTTATTATCTTCCTCTGCTTTTTATTGTTTCGTGTGTTTTAAGTGGAGGACTTTCGAGAGAAGTGGGTAGAAAGTAAGGGAGACACAATGAATTGAGGCAAAAAAAGAAAAGCTGTTAGCTGAGCTACAAAGAGCTCTGGCTGGTGAGCTGACTGCAACCATCAGCTCTAGACCTTATCATCCTACCACGAAGTTAACCTGCCTCCAAAATAACAGAGCCAAACCAAATGCTGTCTTGAGTCCCACTAAACAACTCAAATTCTCTGGAGGCCAGATAGGATACTGAAAACCTAGCTGACGACCTAAGACTACTGACACATTTTTAGAGGCACAATTTCTGGAAGTGACCTCAGAGATCCTGCCACTCCTTTTCCATCAAAGAAACTGAGGCTCTGGTACAGGGAGCTAGTGTCAGTCTTCTCTCATATCAACTCTTGCCATGTTCCCAGGGAGTTGGTCACAGTCTGTTCAAAACAGCCAGAAAAGCAATTCTGGCAGCAGGACAGGAAAACAAGTGTCAGGATGACTAACCACAGTCTCAGAGAAGTAAAAGATGGCTTTTGACAGATGAAAACAGAATTATCATTCTGGGGTATTATGTGCCTCTTGGTTTATGCCCTGATTCAAAAAGAGATTGCCATCATTCTCCCAGCTGCAGACATGCCAGGGGACTTTTACTTCATAAGAATTTTACTAGCAGTTGATAGTAGGGGTAAAAAATACTGTATGTTCTTCTCTGTTAATCAATCCCAGCTCTTTTGGTAGAACATAATGCTGTTAGAGTAAGAAGCTGTCATCCCACCTGTCAACCACACCCAGAACAGCACCTAGGTTACTATTCTGAGTTAACTCCTACCTTGTATTGTTTTATTATTCTGAAATGGCAGATGTCAAGAAAATAGGGCCAGGATACTTAAACAAGTTCAGCCTTGTTTCCATTGCAAGCATTCCTCTGAAAGCCCTGAACGGTTCCTAAATATGGAGACTGCTTACTCAAAATACAACATCAAGGGCTCCCATTTAAAGTCTCCAGGATAGAGCTTTCAGATAAATACAGAGCAGCATTAGTAAATACCAAATATTGGAATATAAATGTTTATCCCAGGATTTGCATAGGACGTATTCATACTAAGAAATTGTCACTTGCCTGAAATTCAAGTGTAACTGTATCCTATATTTGTATTCACTAAATCTGGCAACAATGTTTCAAGAGCAAGGCAACATTAACATTGGACATGACATGGGTCAGAAGCACAGGTTGCAGCAGGCTATGGACAAGAAAGCACATTCCCCACAGATGGCATTTAAATACATTTTAAAAAACAAAACACTGCAAGCCAACATCTGCAGCTGAATATGGCCTATGGACTACTGATTTCTAAGTTTGACTTGTAAGAAAGTTCTGAATATCACAAAATGTTCTTACGTTGAGCAACATCTGCCCCTGTAATTACTGACCTGCTGTCCTAGTTCTGCTTTCCATCTAGTTCTTCATCCACAAGATAGCTCTTTAGATATTGAAAGATCCCTCCTGCTTTTCTCCATGCTGTCCTTTCTAGGTTGACTGGTTCCTATTCTTTCCATTTTTTCTTTCCTGATATGGTGGCTCCAATATTCCTCCCACTCCGGTGCATCACTTCTTTGCCAACTGAAGTCTTCCCACTGTCTTAGCTTATCAACTGACCAGTGCACACTACACCTAGAAGGTCATGTTTAGTTATTTCCTCCTTCTTTCTCAGGTATATACTGCTCTTGACTAAGATCAACTCTCCTTGGGCCTTCTACCAACCCTAATGAGGGACCCATTATCTTTTCCTAAAAATTGGCATTCCCCTTCAAAAGCTGGAGAGCTCCCTTCCTCCTCTGGGAGTTAAAAATGGATCTTAGTCCTGTCATTTCCACGTGCTAGCTCTAAGTGACACATGGATAACCCTACTTTCCTCATCAGTAAAACGAAGATGACACCCTCCTGTGGGCATTAAAATGAGATAATGTATGAAAATCACATAGCATGTACAGTCAATTCCTTTTATTCTCAGTAATTATAAAGACAGCACAAACACTGAATAGCAAATACCAAATAGTTGCTTCTAGAAGAAATGTAAGGCTTCTGAAAGCCTCTGGTCACATTTTTGCCAACTGTGCAACATGAACTTTTCAGGTGTGCTATTTAAAGACACTCAATGATATCTATTGCTGATTCATTAACATGGAACTCATGGCCAACAGCCCTATAACATACCTGAAGGAACATAATCTGATACATATACAGTCTCTGTTAAGGGGCATCTAATTTCTTACGCTTAGAAACACTAGACAGCAAATCAGCAGTACACTTGGGGCCGTTTAAACAGAAATCAACAAAAAGCAAAACAGTGTAGAGGACATGGCACTGAACAGACACACTGTTTAGGCACACTTGTCACACAGTATGAGCTAAAACAGGAAGGCAGAGCATTTGTTCCAGCCTAGTGAAATTTGGAATGTATGACATGATCAACTGGACTTCCCCACTAGTATTTCCTAGTACGAAAGTACCACCATTATCAAGTTAAGACTTGTTTGTTGCTTTATTTTATTTATATTTTACTTGTTTAGCCTTTTTCTACCTTTTTACCATCCCCCAGTTGTTTTCAGAGAAGCATTGCTGCATTTTTGGCAGATACTTCATAGTTGGGAAAAAAATACATCAGGATGATCTAGCCCATCCCACTCCCTTGAAAAGGAGCCACATTTTACTTGTAGCAGAAACCAGGCTCACAGCTCTCCCATAAGCCTAGTTCTAGATTCTAACAGTTTGTGGTCAGCAGGTTGTTTGAGTTCAGACAAATCCCCCTTGTTTTCTACCTTCTGTCTGTCCCTCTTATCTGGGGACCCACAGCTAATCTCTAACTCTCCTTCCAGCCTTTGGCTGACCAGCTTCTGACCCATGCAGGAGAGAAGGGTCACTTGTGGAGATAACTCTAATGCAAGGGAACTCTGTCACCCTTTTACTTCTTTACTCAAGCCTCAAACTTCAAAATTGCCAGTTTCAGAACTGGAGGGGCCAGGGACCTTCCTATACATCATAAAAACTTGGTGAGATAGGGCTCATTCACTACAGTTTATAGACAAGGGACTAGGGCTCCAAAAGCCTAAAAAACTTGACCAAGGTCACTGGTTCCAAAGCTCTTGTTCTTTCCACTGAACCATGCAACTTCTGTCTCCCAACATTCAGGAGATAGAACCTAGAGTCCCTTATCAGTCATGGCTATATTAAAATGACTTTATTGAGATATTATTCACATGCCATACAATCTACCTGTTTAAAGTGCACAACTCAGTGGCTTTTAGTATATTCACTGTTATGCACAACCTCACTACAGAAGACTTTAGAACATTTTAATCATTACAACAAGCAACTGTGTTATCTTTTAGGGATCACTGCCTTATCTCCCAGGTCCTGAGCAACTACTGATCTAGTTTCTGTGTCTACATATTTGCTTCTTCTAGACATTTTATGTAAATGAAATCATACAGTATATACTCTTGTGACTGGCTTCTTTCACTTAGCAAAATGTTTTCAAGTTTCTTCCATGTTGTGGCATGTGGCATGTATCATTGCTTTTTGCCTTTTTATGGCCAAGTAATATTCCATTGGAAGAAAAAAATTCCAGTTTATCTATTCATCAGTGATTGGCATTAAGGGCTGTTTTTACCCTTTGGCTAGTATGAATAATGCTGTCATAAACATTTGTGCATAAGTTTTTATGTGAACATATATTTTCTTTTCTCTTAGGTATCACCTATGAGTGAAATTGCTGGGAGCATGATCCATTTCTTGTTATATAGCAGCATGTGGGGCCTCAAAATCACACAGACTTAGGTTGAATTCTAGCTGCTCACCCACTTTTTGTTGTAGGTTTGGGACCAAACACACTTCTCTTATTCTTAGTTTTATTTAAATATGTAAAATGGAGATAATGATGGGTGCTTCCCAGAAGTTTTGTTGGCATTAGATGAAATAATAAGGGGAAAATTCTTAGCCCAGTGAATGAGCAAGTGCTGAATAAAGGAAGCTTCCAAATATGAAATCCCTGAAGGAAGAGGTGATGAGGACTGGGAATCAGTGTGCTGGCAGTATCTCCAGTGCCTCCCAGCTTTAATGAGCAATGAT